GTTACTGAAACCTGCTCTGGCTCCTGGATGTATTTAGCATTGGTTTGTGCTGCATGAGTGTTGAGGGGTGAGAGTTGCGTGGTACAGGAAAAGCCCAGGTAAAATGGGGCTATGAGGTCTTTTCGAGAGGGGTGGCTCCACATATGTAGAGTCCCTATAGGAGGGGTCAGAGGTCTAGTCCTGTAGGCTGATGAGGTGGTAAGACTAGCTGGTAGACCAAGAAACTGTTAGGCTGAAGCAGCGTCAGTGGCGCTTACTGGGTGGAAACAGCATTTTCCTGGAGAGAATATTCACTCAGAGCTTTGCTGATAGCTAAGGATGGTAAGCAAGAGGCCTTGACCTCTGCATCTCCTAGGAATTTCAGTGCAGGGACCCAGTGGGAGCAGCAATGGCTCTGGCAAGAGTAGAGAGCAGGGCAGTACCTTCAAGTGCAACATATGCCTGGACACAGCCAAGGACACTGGTATCAGCCTGTGTGGCTGCCTCTTCTGTTGGCCATGTTTTCAACAGTGCTTGGAGACCAGACCGAACAGAAAAGTGTGTCCAGTTTACAAAACCAACATCAGCTGAGACAATGTCATTCTGCTCCATGGCAGAGTCAGCTCTGGGCAGCAGGACCCAAGAGAGAAGACTCCTCCTTCTCCTCAAGTCCAGAGGCCAGAAACAGAATAGAGAGGATTTCAAGGATTTGGATGGGCTTCCAGATGTCCCTTGGAATTGGGGCATTTCCCTTTGGCATATTTGCTGCAGCATTTAACGTTAATGATGGGTGGCCTTGTCCAGCTGTCTGGGACACCCCAGTGTGCAGATGAACAGTTCATGTCATGTCATGCCTCTTCCTTTTTGTGATTCTCATGGTTCTGGCTCCTGGTTTCCTAATGCTGGGCTTCTGTCTGCATCTACAGCAGGGCCTCTGCTGGTGTGCAATCCTTAAGCCTGGTATTTGGCTTCTTGACTAATTCTGGCCCAGTTGGTCAATAACACTTCAAGGAGTCTAGCCTCTCCCTCAGAGCTTTAGAACTCATGACCAGTTGGAAAGGACCCCAGAGTATCACCACTACTGTAAACACCCTTTTGTAATGTCAGGCTTTGATGTTGAGTTCCCTATCATGGATGCCAGCATGAAATCCTATTCCAGTCAATTCAGCAGGTCTGACTGCACAGGGGAAAAGTGGGAAGAAAGAAACCGAGTACAGTTTCACCGAGTTTTATATTACCAAAAAAAAAGGATGAACCAAATGGTATTTATGGAAATGAACTTTCACTCTTTAAATACCCCTTGATAACTGATCTCTGTAGCCATGGGGCTCTTCATATAGACAAATTCCCTTTCCAGATCCTCTGTCCTTATTGTTACATCGTTCCACATATTTTTGCTTTGCCTCCTATTATTTGGGTTTTGACAGTCTTTTTAGCATACAGGATTCTATTGTAAAGAAGCACCACTCTGTCCTCTTTTCTCCCCTTCCTTTCTTAGCAGAGACCCAAAATATTGCTATCCCAGGAAGATCATAATTGCAGCAGCTGAAGCCACTTCATGAATTCACCAGAGACCCAAAGATCATTTATTGGTTCTGGGCTTTGCTCAGTGTTTGTGGCCCCAGAGAACAGCTTAAATGACCTCCTGGTTTCCTAGTGTAGACTGTTCTTAGATTGTGGCTTCACTCGCAGATTTCCTGTCAACTTTCCCCTCAAAACTATATTCATCTACCCTCTCTACCAGAGGGCAAATGGCCTAGACTACTGCTGAAGCTGGGACTGCCTACTGTGTATTAAGAAACCTGGAGTTGGGCCCTTGATGATAAGCAAAGCTCCAATACAGGAACATTGGAACAAGTAACCCTGTCCCCTATGCTGCAGAAACTCTGAGGGCATCCTTGCCCAGAGGAAGCTAGAGGCTTTGTCGGATCAAGCCAGCTGTATGTAGAAGGCCACCATCCTCAGATGCCAAGTTGTCCATTATGAAGAAGCAGGGAGGGGGATGACCCACCTGTGACCCTGCTTTTGGTATGGTTTGGTAAGGTCTCCGCAAAACTCCTTGTATGTGTTCTAGAACTGGAGAAGTGTGTGACACACCTGAGCAGGCAACCCCTGCTAGTTTGTAAAAGCCAGACAGCAGACCTAGTGAACCTCGGCACAGTGATGCAATGTGGTCTTCTTCCTGTGGAATCCAAGGGAAGTTATTCTTTCCAAGCCCTTGGTTTCTTTTTCAGGTTTATAAGCTTCATCCTGATTGCAAAAGTGTAATGCCAGGCAGAGAGATAGTTCAGCTTGTGAGATGGTTCTTGCTTGGCCTGCCAGGCTTCATCCTAGAAGATCACTTTCTTCCTGGAGACCAAGACGTTGAAGGGAGATGGACTTCTGTGGGAGACCTCTTGCTCACTTTGCCAATCCACACCATTCCTGGCTTACCTTCAACAATAGCCAACAAATAGAAAGCCCCTAGTTCAAGGTCTCCATCCCTTTCCCTTTGTACCTACTAATATCAGGGCTCAGTGTTTACAAAATATATAAACTATTAAATAGGTGGTTGATTTGCCAAATCCAGTTGGTAGGAATAAGGCACCTTCTTTACAGTGTGCCTGATGGACTTTAAACATTTTAAATACCCTCTCAAGGGTGCTCTTTTTATCAACTTTTGGTCCCAAGTCACAAGGCCTTCTGGATTGCCTCTGCTCCAGTGTTACTCCCCCAGTACAGTGGCCCCAACTAGTAGAGGGAAAGTTAACTTCAGCCAGTTGAGCCTAGAAAAAAAAGATTCAAGAAGAGTTGTGGGTAGAAAGACAAATCACTTAGAATATTTAATGAAGTGGGGACCAGGAGAGCTCCACCAGCAGAAGCATTCCACGAGCTTGTTAGCAAAGCCAAATGGGCCATGTTGCCCAATGGTGAACTTTATAGGTCCTACTCACCCTCTGTCAGGCTCTGGGGCAGTACAGCAAACTTGGGACTATTGGCCCAGCACTGATGGAGTCCCTTTCCCCTTGCCCTTCAGCAGGCTTTTGCCAAGGCTGCTTACCTTGTGTGTGTTTTCTTTGCCTCCATCCTGGCTGACTAGGACCAGGTCCTGACCACAGTCAGAAAATTGCAATATATACAGCAGCATACCGTGGCCAGTCACTGTTGTGAAAGTGTTTTCATTTAGAATTAAATAAGTGGTTTTACATTACAAAAACAAAATGAACCATGAGGAAGGCATTTCAGCTGCCATGATGGAGGCCATGCTGAGTTTAAGAGCTGAAAAATAGCAAGATCTAACTGAAGCATAGGTGTGTGAAGATGGTGGGCTACAGGAGTATTCCTAGGAAAATCCTGGTTTGGGATAGAGAGGTAGATGGTAATGCCATTCCATATAATGCTACATAGAGAACATTTTTGCCAGGTGATGGCCTCAGACAAGTTCCTTCAAGTAGCATTAGCACAAAAAAGCAGAGGCAGTAAGGAAAATGGACTGGCTTCTAATTCTGGTCCTTAGGGGAAGGTCTTGGACAGAGATCAGGTGTTTCCCCCTATCCCTGATGCATGAGTTCACTGGTAGAATTCGGGAAATCCTTGGTATAGAGGGTGGTGGGGAGGCAGCGAGCCTCTATGTCTTTCCGAGTGCCTAAGGCATTGTAAAGGAGAGAAGAGCAAAGGCAAGTCCTAGCTCCTCTGCCTCATCTTCCCCCCGCCCGGGATGAGGGTGATTTTCATAGAATTTGTCTGAATCCCATTGCTGGCTTCTTACTGCTCTTAGTATATCTTTGTTTTGAGCCCTTGCTATGTTAATCAAAATTAAAATCTATCCACATTAACACAGAGGAGACATCCACAGAACAGCATTTGCTCAGTTCTTTGACTGTGAAGTTTATATGATTCCCACAGCATAGTGATTCATTGCAGCATTACTCATTGTCACCTGTGGACCTGCTAACAGGTGCCTGGTGTTGGTGCTGGCCGAGTCTTGCTTCTTTCTACCATATAATCATCTCATACATGCTTCCGCCTTTTTAGGTAGTGCTGCGGATTGGACCCAGAGCCTTGGGCATGCTTGCCAACCTCTGGCGCTACACCCTCAGTCCCAGGCTTTCCTTTTAAATGTACAACCTTAGACTGTACCTTGTTCTGTGAGTGTTCCTCAAGATGAACAAACATTTCTAATTTTGTCTTGATGAATGTGAGATGTCTCACAATATCAGTAATACATGATCACAGCTGAGCCAGTGGCTCGTCTCTTTCTCTCCCTGCGGGATTGTGGGTGATCATCTGGCCACAACAAGAGGTTGTGGAGGAGCTCTTGTTTACAGAACAGGAGGAGGAGGAGGAAAAGGGGAAAAAAATGGAGGAGTTCATCACTTCAAATGAGTTTAGGATATGTGTAAAATGTGCAGTTTTTTTTTTTTTTTTTTTTTTT